AATTCCATGTCAACATCATCTATTTGTCTGTATATTTTGCTGTCAAAAAGGAACTACTACTAAAATGCACACCAAATGTGCAGTTCCTTCTTGACAGCCAAATATGCGGACAAATAGATGATGTTGACATGGAATTTTTGAATTGTCCGTTTGCGATATAATACATTTTGAATCAGCTATTAAAAGGTAAGTTTTAAAGTCAAAAGTGTGCCGTTTTGGGGAGCTGTCGTCTCGCTAATTGTGCACATTTCGCGACAAATCATATTGATTAATTTTTATACTATACAGAATTGAAAATGCACAAACTGTAAGAGAGATTGTTTTCCACTAGCACATCACGCTTGTCGTCAAATCAAAAGGTCAGCAACTTTCAACTTCGTAAGACAGAATAAGCCTTTAAAATATTCAATGGGTTTAACTGAGCATGCAACTTCCATGGATAAACCTCTGATATATTTGTGCGTTTTCCTGCATTTTGTATATTCTCAAAAAAGTGTTCACTCCTTATTAAAACATTCACTGACATTTTCACCATTCTGAGAAAGGTTTTTTAGTGTGCTTGTCACGGACGTCATGATTTTTTCTTCCAAATACGTTACGAAATCACTGGACGGTTGACACTTTCCAATCAGGCTGAACAAAAAGATCCAGAGTAGAGATTAACTAAAACGAGTTCAAATGTACCTTCAGTTATTTATCCATCTTCTACTTTGCTATTGTCATCACTGCAGTTGTGTGCCATGGATAAGCAACATTTTTATAAAAATAATCAAACACATTTACGCGTATAGTCAACGTCCTATTCTTCGTACGTTGTCAGTAATTGAGAACTGACCTCTTTCATATAATAATAGGACAAATTAAAAGCAACCATGAGTTTGGAGAGGCAACGTTAGAGGCGGCGATTGTGAAACTGAAAATTTGCCTTGTGGACAGAGTGCTTACTTCGGAGATTGCCCGGCATAACTTCTGGTTATTCGGAATAATACAGTCCTGTAGACTTTGACACAGTTTACTCTTAACGTTCGTTCGAATGTGCCTGATGCATATTATTTTTGAGGCCGTGAATCTAATACCATATGTGAAAGCTACTTTTACAGTAACGTTTTGGATACAAAATGCAGCAAGTTAACCTGAGCTCTCTACTGCAACGACGCAGGTAGCATTCTTTAACTTTTACTAGGTAAATTTGTTAGGGATTATTATTTAAAAGATAAATTGGCGGACATAAGTTTGCTTCCCTTAAACTGTCTTCAGGTTTTCACTTTGCCGTTCAATAACTGAGTAGAATATTCGAGCTGGTATAAAGTCATAATGTAGTGGTCAGAAATGGGGGAGAGAAATTATTGTTAGTAGTCAGATGAGTATCAGTGCGTACTAGGTGCAAGGTAAGTTAATTCGCTGCGTAAATGTTTACTGATCCACTTTTCGCCACGGTAACTGTGGCGCCTTTAGGAAGTTCTTTTTGGCGTAACCTGTTTGCAGCCTCTTCTACAGCAGCTAACAGCGGCTATCCAATGAATTTTTAATAGCTTGGTTGGACCTAATAAATCACCTGGAAAGGCCCACTAACGTTTACGCAACGATCTGAGTCCACCATGTGCGCCAGAGGGAAACCGTTAATGTTCTTTATTCAGATCTTTCCTAATCTTGCTTTAAAGTGTTCTTTTGGGTGGTCACCGGCTCTTGCAACTGATATGTCCTGCCCCCAGGACGAGATCCATGAATGGCTGCACACAGATGTGCCCTGGGCTTGCAGTTTGTCCTTGTTCTCTCCGTGAAGGTTGAAAGTAGTCGAGAACAGTACATGGATGTCGCCTGTGACAAAAGGTGTTTGATAAAAATTGACTCAGGCGCCAATAAATGTTTGCTTGGTGCATCCCATTGAGCTAGGAGCCTGATAAAAAATATTTTATCCTCTGCCGTTAGTACGGAGTGTGTTGGCGGTTCTTCGACCATGTTTTTAGCAAAAAATCGACAAAAATACGCATTTTGTTGAAAAAAGTATTTTACCGTTTTAATCACTTCTTCGGTATTATCGGTCGACCAGATCCTTTTTGCCCTCTGTGTCGGGCATCGTAGTAAATTACGTTTGTAGTGCAACGATATGAAACTCCCAAAATATTATATTGCCTAGACCACATCTTCTTACGAAAGACACTATGGTGAATACACATGTCAGGCCTCCTAGTCAGGACATGGGGAAGAATGGTAGCTATCCGGACTGTTCATCTTCTAGTGTACATTTGATCCACCTGATTTACTGTATGCATAAGAGTTGAAAGGTTAATTTTTCAGAAGTAACGGCGAATATCTCATCCAATTAGCATCCGCTGTGAAGCTTCCAGCTTGCGAATGAATGAATTCAGCAGAAGCACGCCAAAGGCACGAGCTCAATTGTTTTTACAGATTGTTGTCAAATAAGAACTGCACATATGGTCACTAATTTATCTCCTGTATTTTTACTGGAATTTCAAATTTATTATTCTGAATGATTCGGACATTAGTGAGAATAAAAACGTACTAAGGTGTTTCGATTAATTAGTTGTAGGCACCTCACTATGTTTTACGGTTTTTAAATGACATCAGGTAACAGAAAATAGAATATTACATCCATGCAAATTAATTTATGAAAATTCGTCACGATTACATAAACATAACACGGAAATGCGCACATCCAAAAAGCCAAGGGGATGGCAGAATTTTGTGCCAAGCCTTTAAGAGGAAAATTTGTGATTGCTCACATCATTTGCAGGTGCATATTTAATCTCTTTCAGCTGGCCTTCATTATGTAACAGCTTTACAGCACGTTTGGCGAGCCTATCAGAAAATATTGCACTTCCAACCATTCAAGCTTCTTTTACTATATATATTTTAGATAAAGCACGCATAAGTAGCGATTTTCCCGATGTCGGAAACTGAAGAAAATTGAAACCTGCTGTAGGTTCAATTTGCACTAAAGCTCTTCATTCAAATAATTATAATTTAACCGAAATATTCCGTTTGACGCTATTGAATGAATACTCATGTGCAAGTAGCTTCTGTATACATGCAACACATTTTCAAGAGAGACTGAAGAAGTCCCCTACATTTGAGGCACTTCACCTTTTAGAAAATAATTATTTCATATTCAGGACACTCGTCATACGAAAAAGCTCTGAATAAATTTCAAATCGCAAAACTTTAATATTGCTGATATGGTGAAATATTTTCTAAAGCTGCTAAGATCTTATAAAGCCACGTCACCTTTACAAAAAATTAAATCATTATTTCTTTTTATGCTATCGAAAATTTTGATCACGCCGACTAAATATATCCGTCGAATATTTTTAGCAAAAAAGTTTAACGCATATATTTCAAATATATTTAAATGGCATTGGTTCGGCGGTGGCATAATTTAGCCGGTTGATAAATGCTTGAATTCACCAGTCAGGGTAAAGCCTCTGCCTGATTTCCCATTGGACAATTATTTTCACTTGAGTGGCCAGAATAAATTCGCCGATGGAATTCACCAATAGAAAAATTTCATGCAATGCCTATGGCCTGGGCTGAACAAAAACTCCTCGTGTTTCAAATTATACAATATATGCTAGCGCTTGGAAATATCAGCTGGATACATGCATGCAATTCCGAGCTACGAGGCTGTGAAATGTAAGCGCTGTTTATGCTTGCTCGTACCATTAATTTCCACCCGCATTTCCATATATTCCTCGACTTTGTTAGGCATTTAGTAGTATATTTTTAAAAAAAGGAATTGAGTATGAAATATGTACGTGAAGTGGGTTAGCAGTGCCTAGATTGGGGGTCACAACAACATTAAATATTAATATTATTACATGATTTTTAATTTAATTTCTTAAACTTAATATAACAAAACCATAGTTTATTTGCAAAGGGTCTCCTTGCCTTGCATTGCTGATTTAATGTAGTATGAACTCAGAGTCGAACTACGCAAAGCATATGTTCCAATCTAATTTCACATGATCACTGGCGAGTTAATATCAAAGAAATCTAAATTAAGCATGTCACCAAGATAACCTTTGGCGGAGAAACAGACTTTGTGCCTGTAAAACAGGAAAGCTTAAATGACTTGGTTTTTGCTATAGCTTGAATGTTTGAATATATATCGGGTCATGGTCTAATGCGAAAATTAGTGAAGTTGCTTTCTTTGATCGATAATTTAAATGCTGCTGGGAATGAGTCCCTGAAAATATAAGCTCATTTTAAGTGTATGGTTAGGACACGAACATGTTTTCTACAGTTGCCACTATAGCTGGCGATTGGATACCAAAATATGATTTACAAAAAAGTGAAAAAGTGCAGTTAGGTCTAACATTAGGGCATTTGTTTCTCATAACCATTTCATCCTCTACTAGAATTGTTTTGCCGATTCACAATTTTTGAAGAATATGTTACTACAGCAAGTAAAATGTTTTATTTGTGTCAGCGAATGTGGTTTCCGCCCGATAGACAGGTTATCTGAGAGAACAGATATCTTGACTGAAGTCTTTAATTTTCAACTGCGAACAACAGAACCGGACAGATTCAAAACTCAAGCAATTTTAGTCTGGGAGTGTCAGCAACTGTTTCCTCAATGTTAACGATCGCAGATCTCTGTTCTTAGTATTGACTCTTCTAAAAAGGTATGCTTGTTAACGGACCCTTGGACCACGAAGGGTTCTGACGGTTTTTAACAGATGAAAACCTCCGAATCCGTCCACATTAAAAAAATTCCCACAGAGGTTCTGCGGTTAGCTGATAGCAAAATTAACCCGTTGTGCTGCAAGCTTTTACAAACCTTTCTTTGTTTATCGCATACCTACAGAATGAAATATACAAACATTTAAGCAATATGTGTGCCGTTAATCCTTTCAAAATTTAACACATCAATTCATACATTTTGTTTGAATGATATTGTAAAAATTGTTTATTTTGTTGATGTATTATTTTCCAATTTATTTTGCATCCACACATGTTTACAATTTTCTTTCTGTTGACAGATGATGACTTCTAAAGTTCCGACGGGTTTTCGGCATGCATCTGCCGAGCTCGAATTTTCTAAAGAAAACTACGCAGTGAAGGATTTTCGCCGGAGCGTGTTTCGACGCCAGACCCAGTCTTATACGCCCATTTTGCTGTCAAAAGATGCCAAGCGTCGCCAGGAGGTTCGTAACCGTTCCGCGGACCTAACATCTTCTCAGTGGACTGGACAGCATAGTTCGCCGAAAATGCATAAAGAGAACGGTATAGGGCATCAACGCGGCAGAGACACCTCTCGAGATGCCACCGATGAGTTCCGCGGTCTGTGCGTAATTGACGATGACGGTATTTCCCCCTGTGCATCCTCCGCCATGTCAACTTCCTTCCCCTCCTGTCAGAGGCTCAATGGCGCTAAGAAGGTTTCCGGAAGCCTGAACGATGCTAGGAGATCCCCTAATGCATTCACTATGCACGAACAGGGCAAGCGAGCTGACAAGGAGCGTGCCTGGGAGATGACGTCCCAAAAACGACACCGAGAGCATGGAAAAGAAGTGTCCTCCAGGGGGACTTGTCAGGGCTTAAACGTGCATTCAGAGACTGCAAGGGCAGACGCGGATTTCCCTTCGAATTCCGTGCCGGAGGGTTCCGCAAGACTGCCGACGACCAGTGAGAGCGATTCGCCCAATATCTTTGATTCGAGGGGTGGGGCGCCGTGCATATCCAAAGTCGCAAAAACAAGGGCTGCAGCAAATGGTTAGTCACACAAACACACTAGCCTGCATTTAAGCACATGCATATAAATTGTGTTTTTTCTGCGTTTTAAAGAATGTGTCACCGTTAGACATTTACGAGAGTTGCTGCAGAAGGTACGCGTAACGAT